GTGAGTGAAAAACATAAACACCAGCTTTGATTCAAAGTATTACAGCCAATAGCCTGCTGTGTTATAGCCTACTGTAGGAGTTTTAAAGGGGCACTCCACCGATTTTACGTGTGAAGTTCACTTTAATCGTCAGGAGGAGTGCTACTCCATCTGTGGCAGGTTGTGTAATGTCTTCTGCGGCTCTGGTTTGAACCTTGCTGGAGTCAACTGAGTAATCTCGTTTTGGGCTAAAGCCTGCAATACAAAGGGGAGGTGGGGGGTTTGGAAAAAGTGGTCATTTTTAGGCAACTTGATCTAATGAGAAATCTTTTATCATGGGAGATGCAGGAAATGGAGCTCTCGGAGCTTGACTCATAGAGCTGCTGCTCTTTCCACTTTCATCATACTTTTTAAAATGTGTGTCTTGAGACCACTCTATAAAGTGCAATATTAAACGCCTGGACTACGCCTTTACGGCATGTTATTTTTTTTTTCATACCACACATTTGCATTATGAACTTTTCATTCTAATGGTGTGTGTGTGTGTGTGTGTGTGTGAGTCATATTTGCATTCATATTTGACTGCAGTAATGGGAGTGTTTGGATGTGTGCACATGTTTTAATATGCCTGGTTGGCCATGACACGTGATACGCTGCAGGTACAGCACTTTATTCCATATTCAACACTTAAGACGTGTTGGACAGGACTTCAGCAGCCTGTAGAGTGATGTGGAGAGCTGTTTGCTGTTTTGTAACTGTAAATACATTTCAAACACACCTCCAAGAACAGACCATTACACCAAAATGCAAAATGTAATCTGGTTACTTAGCTTGAACATGAGTTAAGATCTTAACAAATACACATGCATATGAATCTCTTCCCTGTCATGTCCTCTGTGTGTGTGAGCATGTGTGTGTGTGTCAGAGAGAGAGAGACGAAGGGTGTGTCTGGGAATGGAGCTACAGAGGATAATAGAGGAGGGCTCAGACACTGACTTTGACTGGATCTGTTTACACCCCACAGTCATAATTCAGACAGACAGATGGCTTTTGCATGGATTTACCACTTTAACTGCCACATCACACCTTTGGGGGTAAAACTCTAGACTGACACTGAAAAAGTGATAAACTTCCCAGTTTCCCCAGGAAATTATAAGTGAAAGCGAGAGGAATATCATTACATAACCCACTCCTCACTTATCTCAATACATGACAGATCTGAAATGTCTTCTGCTTACATAAGATAGACCTTAACTTTAACTTGTATTGTTAAACTAAGGTTATTAATCAAGCAGATGAAACTCAACCCAAAAAAAACATTGATTGAGGCGTCTCTGAGTACATTTTGTGCATGGTTTTTCATGCTTATCTGTGTGTGTGTGGGTGCGTCTGAGCAACTGCATATGAGTGTGTGCCCAGGCAGCGAAATAGGGGGGGTATTGTTGACACAACCAGAGCTGCTCAGAGCTCTTAACTGTCGTTGTTATCTGGTTTCCCAGGTACTGAGGCTCTGTTGTTCAAATGCAACAGGTGCCAAGACCTTACCCTGTACAAGGTGGCTCTGTGTGTCTGTGGGCGAGGCACCGCCGATCGATTTTAAGTGCATCCTCTGTCACTTTTTTTTATGTGCTAGAAGCGAGGGATAGTGAGAGTGGACAGTGCTGCTAGTGTTTTATACCTAATTAAATTAACATTATTACAGTGTTTAAAAGTATAATTAAAAGTTTCTGTATCATCATGTTAAAAGTGCTGATCTTAGTCCTGAGATTTTTTATCCTCCAGTTTTCAGTCAAACTAAGAGCAGAGCATTAGACGGGTGTAGAAGGCCAGGTGTGACCTTAAGGGCGTGTGTGTGTGTGTGTGTGCATCATGTGTGTGCGTGCAACTTGCCTATTGGATGTCATGCTGATGTGTTGGGTCAGGTGTATGCAGTTACTGAGCTGGTAAATGAGACTCGGCATGCCTGAGGGGAGCGGGAAATAAAAGAACTAAGTGCAGCCTCTGTTCCATCTCCTGTGTTGACTCTTTTCTGTGTCCATCATTTTCTGCCTCACCTCATTTCATTTTTTGCCTCCAGTATTGTGTCTTTTTCTTGATTTTCTCCACCTGCTGCTGTCCTCTAATTTTCTTGTCTGGTATGTTTTGGGTCATGTTCAAATGGCCAGCCATTTTTCATGCCTCACATTACTCCCTCCTTCTGTTTTTTTGTCTTTTATACAAACTCCAACTTGCATGTGATCACTTTTTCTGTCTAAGTCCAAACCACCTGCCCTGGTTCCCTGAAACTACGCCAAGCACTACATGCTGCACTCCTCGCTGTACTCTTTGATAAGGCGCATTCGCGGCACACCCACCGAGAGCCAAACTCTACTATGCCAGTCCTGTAGCTATTGGCCGTGGGGCCCTCCTCCTCCTACTCCTCCTCCTCCCCACTTGATAAAATTGATCCAAACCACTCATCACCCAGTGCGTGCCAGCTGAGGTGGAAACACAGAGGGCTTCTGGGTAAACGCTCTCTGTTGCATAGAGCAGGAGTCTATACCAGCTCCAAGCTTTGGACACAGTTGGTCAGAAATGACAGCGCTGTCTGCCGCTCTGCTGCGTTCCTGTGCATAACGAGGACTAATGAGGACGTAATTACCGCTGGTTGGCCCTTAGTTTGTTTGTTTTTGTGCACCAGTGCTTTTCCTGTCTCCATATGGCCCTCCCCTCTCCAGGCCTGCAGCTCACACACTCATGTACACATGCAAAACACACAATTCCCAGCCATCTGAGATCCCACTGTGTACAGTTTAGAGACTGTTTTGGTAATTACTGTTTGGAAAGGTGAAATATATTGTGTTGTGTTTGCTTTTTCTATTATTTGTCGCACAGATTAATTTCAAAGGCTCTTTACCTCAGTGTTTAAAAAATCAACAGTCTCCCCTGGAGATCTTATAGCTTATCTTATTTGCATCGCTGTGGCCTGCTACATGAAATACAGCACATTTCAAATTAAATTCCCTGCGACAGAAGTCCTTTATTTCTGAGTGGATGTTAATCTCCCCATCTGTGTTTATTTCACAGTGGAATTTCATCACAACAAACATGTCGACCACAATGGCAAACTGAATTTGAATGCTGTGAGAATTGAATTTGTTCCCTCGCTCATGTGGGGCCCGATTCAGAGTCTTTGCTAGATGTTCAGCAGGGAGGAGGGAGTTGTGTGACTCTCTTGGTGGGATGGGAAGAGGATGTTTGGTGACTGTCTGGTGTTTTTGGGATCACTAATCGCAGGGAGGCAGAGAGTGACGACAGTCAGAGCTCTCACACTCTATCAAGGAGCTCTCATATCACATTGCAAGGAAAGAGAAATATACTCCCCAGCCAAAGTAAACACAGCGACTGCAACTTGCTTTTTGTTGCTGGAAGTCGTGCTGTTGGACCTGTAGTGGAACGTGCCGTTGTTCTCGATTGTTGATTCCTCTGTTTCCCATCGTTCAGTTCTACATTTTGTTACTCATTTAATAAGTTACAAAGAATTGTCAACTTTCCAGCTTGTGAAGCGTTTCCATCCATCACCACATCCCGACGTGTCATTCTATAGAAGATGCTCACAATGGTTTTGAGTGACTGGCTTAACTTTTGTCATTGCCATTATTTTTGCTATGCCACCGGTCGTCATCGAGCTTTTGTATACTGACACTTGACCAAAGGTTGAGACTTAATCTTAGCTTTCAGCAGCAGGAAGTAAAGTGCGCTCATACTGTTCATACTCTAAGATGGAGGACAAACTGGTAATTCTGTTCCCAGCCTCGCCCTTTACTGTAGCCTGATAGCACAAAGATCGGTAATTTGGAGTTTATTAACACTAAATAATGGTCTGATGACTAAGCAGTGTTCGGGCTCCTATCTGCATACAGATCAGAAGTGACACAAACTGAACCTTGACTACAAGAAAATAAAATATCAGCGGAGTAGTTAAGGGTTAAACTTGAATATTGAATACTTATTCAGTTAGCTTCCTCCCAAACATGATACGTTCAGGGGTGATAAGATATTTGAGTCTTATTAGAGAATGTATTGCAGAGTGTATTGCATGTGTTCGCGGTAGAGTCTTCCATGAGAAAACTGTATCCATCTCCACAGGTTGGAGCAGGCTACTGGCTGCAGGCTACAGCTGAGATTTGCAGAGTGTCCCACTCTAACAGATAATATATTGCACCAGCTTTATAGCCCAGAGCAATGCGAGGTGTTTCACTGCATTCAATCATGTAGGGGCTTTAACCTGTTTAAAGTAATAGGGCAGCTACTAGCTAACTTTTAGTAACATGGTTGTTTCTGTAACTTATTCCAGTATTGCCACTGTGGAAGTAAGAGAAACAAAATCTACGGAAATTATAACAACAGAAATTGAATTGTGATCCTGGACCTTGTGCTGACTATATTAACTGAAAGTGAAGGGCTGCGTTATGGCAATGTTTGTCTCAGCAGTGAGAAGCGTAGAGGATTACAGTTTGAAATGTATGTTTTAGCTACTTTCTTTTTAGTAATCCCTGTAATCTTTCAGTACTTTGACATAATGACAGAGCGGTTTGTTCACTGTGTGACCAGGAGTTTGCTGGGACAGTTGATTTCAACTTCATGTCAGTGCTCAGAGACAGTCTTGGGATGTTGCTATAGCTTCCACAAAAAGAGGAGAAATACACAAAGAAGTTACTCCAAAGCTGACTTAGCTAGCTTGCTAATGTTAGCCACTGGTGAGCCTACATTCTGGGCTTTATTTAGAGTTGGAGAGTGTGTTAACTTTAAGGACTAAGGACAGGACTAGGCTAGCTACTGAAGCTATTAGTTCAGCATCTGTAGACCATAGGCTCAGAAAAACACATTATCTGATTTTCTGATTCTACCTGTGTGTACATGGACATACATGTACTTGTACTTGTACTTGTACTTGTACTTGTGGGTGTGGAGGCTTTGGAGCTGTGTGAAGGCACCTTTAGACTAAGAGTCTAGCTGATTGCATCATGTCATTTTTGACA